CCTTCTCCGGGACAAAGGGATTCATCTGCTGTCCAGTATCACTGCTTATCCACACATCATCTTGCCTTGCCAAAGGCCAAGCAAATATAATGCAGCCTGGAAAGACCAGCAGGGATTTCCCTTCTGGGAGGGGAAATACTTGTGCAGAACAGCATTTCCTTTATGACACTGTTATGCTTCCCTTGTCTCTTTTCTGGCATACGAAGAGCACGTCTGAGAAAGAAAACTGTGACAGAAAGTCAGCTGCACTCCAGGCTTGGCAACGACCTTAATGCTATTGTAGCCATCTCCAGATTCAGCCTGACTTATCTCAGGAAGGCCAACAGCTCTGCTTTCCTCTGAACTGAGCTCAGCTGGGCCACAAGCGCCGGCTCTCCGGGCTGTTTCTCAAAAAACATCAGGAGGCTGAAAACATCCACCAGCTGCTTGCTAACCTCAGATCCAGCGCTCTCCGCCTACCGTTACCCCATCGGGAAAGCATCATTCCTACAGCAGGTGGAAAAGCCAGTTTCTCAGGGCGCTGCAGCCGCTCTGGTTCTGGCCTCATGCTTTGTCATGGCTCTGTCTGGTCAGCAGAGCACACAAAAACACCCAGCTGTAAATTTCCCTGGGAACAGTCATGGCTGGGGGGACTGCTGGCATGGAAAATTTATACTAGTATATTATGTGTTCAAAACTTGACTGTATTGCTTAAACAAATATACACCGCACACGATGGGCCTTCAAGCTTAAAAGCCAGGACTACCAAACAGCTCATCCCAGTTCTGAGATAGACAAGCATTCTGATCTGAACCAACCTGTCCTTGCCACACTCTGGTTTACCTGCCGTAAAAGCTCTTCTGGACTTCAGAGGGGAATACAGATTGCCCTCTGCCCAGCAAAGGCTTGCTCGAGATGGTCACTGAATGCCACGACTCAGTTCTAGATGCGTGTGTTCAGTAAGTTCACCAGTTTCTGTCTGCATTTGTAAAATGCAGAGTCCACATCTTTTGACATATTCTTATCAAACCTATAATGAAGGAATTGCATAACAATTACACTTGGGCAAACACAAAAAAATTGATTACTACTCTAAAATATAGAACATGGCTGAGTATTTAGAAGGCAGTGACCTTGCTGACACATTCCTTGGTGTCTCACAGAGCAGCTCTCATGCGCCTTCTGGGAAGTTTTAAATATAGATATGGCCTGGAGAATAACAAAACCCAAAAGGCTTCAAATACTGCAAGCAAAATTTCAACCGTTAGATATAACCGGTACAAACTACACTGAGAAATAGATTACTCCCTAAATAAAATTTTGTAGGGATCAAAGGTTATGCAGAACAGTCCCTATCTTCTTTTCAGGTGCAGTTATTCTTGCGATGACTTCTGGCTCCACAAGGCATAGCCAATTCAAAAACGGACATCCCTCTGAAATTACTGAAAATACTGAGCCAATAAGGAATTTAACAGAGAAAACAAAACATCTCTTTTCAGAGATTCAAAAGCTACATTTAAAAGCTGATATGTAGGACTTGCACAATTCATAGCACTTATCCAACAATTACTGTAGAAATCTCTACTAAAGGTGTGATTTCATGAGCAGCTTTTTTGCCACAGAAGTAGCTAATGCCCTAGCCACAGATCCTTCTTTCCGCTCCAGCAGTTCCCAAACCTTAGAGCAGCATGAGCATTTGTAGCACTGTCAAAGAGCAGAGCCAGAGATATAGTCCCAGGACCAAAGAGCAAGTTTAGACCAGCTCCCAGTGCTGCTGGCTGATCGGGCCAGCTCAGGCAATAGCTTGCAATCCCGAGCCATGACCCCAGGAAGCCCAAGGAGCTCAGTATGGCAGCACGAAGTGAGACTTTTTCTCATGATGCAATTCAACATGAGTCCCAAGAGGTCACAGCCACACATACTGCTCAGCAGCACCAACTGGACCTGCTGGTGGGAGTCACCGTCTGCAGAAGCAAGCAGGGGTGGTAGGTAGCAGGCAATCACCAGCATCACATGTCACAAAGAGAGAGCCTGCAAGATACTTTTCTGATCTCATAAGGCTTGCAATATGCTGTTTGCATGCTACCTTTTGCTCTCACAGGCAAAAACCAGAAACAAGAACACACAGGTAGGCCAACATACCAGGAAAAGAAATTAAATTAATAACAGTGAAAAAAGCATGGAAGAATAGAGGATGTGACTTAAAAAAAAAAAAATACCTCCCATAAACAAGCCATGCCTTCTAGCTCTCCAGTTACCAGCTCAGCTATTTGCTCCACCAACTCAGGCCAGGGATTAAGGCTTGCTGGTTGCACAGCTGTCTTGGGGGAAACTCGGGGGTGAGAGAGGGGCTATTGCCCCTCCAGCATCGTATTCTGCTCTGAGAAATCTCTCTGGTGGCCCCTGGAGACAGCACCAACATCACTACTGACAAGAGCCACCTGCAGCAATGCTGCATCCTTCATAACCCTTACTTGGGTGACTCATAATCCACATCTGACTCCATTGCTCTTAATTCAGCCCGTTATAACAAAGAGGTTTATTTGTGATGTGAATTTCATTCTCAGAGAAGAAATTATTTCAGCTCTGGTACAAAAGAGGGAATTTTGTGCTACTCCATTGACCTCCCACCTTGCAAGGGATTCCAATCAGCTGAAGAACTGCTACACTTCACTGTGAAATTTTTAACACTTTCCTCAGGAAATAAAGACTGAGTTAACATTTCCCTTCTCATATCTGTGTTTCAGAGGACATATACACACAGATTTAACGTCCTATATGTCTTATCTTCTGATGCAGCTGAGGCCAGCCTTTGCCCCCTGCTACCCAGATGCAGGTTCCAAAGTACCAAGAATCTGTAGATTTTCAACTTTTTTTTGTTCTCTTTGAAAGGGATGTATAATCACAAGCCTATATCATTACGTTTACTGTGCATTGAGGAGATAGGGGCAGTGCTACCGTGTAAAATGCAGTGATTATCGGCAATACTGGAAAAGCTAGTTTTCCTCTTTTTTTGGGGGGGGGGGGGGGGGGAGCAAGGAAGCCCGTACAGGAGGGTGAAAAATCCCCAGACAGGACAATTAAAATATCAGATATTTGTACTAAAAACCCATGCAGTGAAGAACCTGGCAACTACGGCAGTGTCTTTGCTGTCCTCAAGCCTCCAGCCATTTGCACTGCAAACCTGCAAGCTTGAGGCTGGATCCCTTGTTAGGTACAAGGCCGCGTCCTGGCGCTTGCCACTGGGCTCCAGCCCAACCACAGCCCCCCCAAGGTTGTTTCACACTCTGGCCTTGGGAGGCAAGGGGGGAACAATGGGTCGTAGTGTGCTCTGGCACCGCTAGGCACTCGCACGTTCCCTCCAACACACTTCCCTTGCAGACACTGACCTACAGCGAGGTTTGGCTGAGCTCACTTCCAAGCCAGGCAGAAAAACTGAAAAGAAATTCTCTTTGCACCAAGTTTCCCTCTCCGGAGTGCTCTGCTGCGCTGGCTCCCTGCTCTCCAGCTGCAACCGAACCAATGTACCCTTCCAGCGTCTCCTTTCCAGCTGCAAAGCACTCTTGCCTCACAGTGCACCAGGCCCTTGTCATCGCTGTGTAGATGCCACCACTGCTACTCAAGCTTCAGGGCAGATCTCCATGCCACGAGGGTGAGAGACTTGAATCCTAGTAAAAGTTGGCCCCCATTTCAAGTGTGGCAAGTTTGCCAATAAGAGAATCTCTCTTACAGCTACATCCCAAGCAATGAGCTGTTTCCAGAGCCCTTTGCCAGCTTAGCTACCTGGCAGATCTACAGTTGGAAACTTTGGGCACTACAAGCTTGGCAATTCACAACCTCATTATTCCTCAAGACAGCTTGCCAATCAGGAGCTGAACAAATGAAAAAGATGAATTGAAACCATTCAACTTTCCCTTCCTGCTCTGAAAACAGACATACTCCTATAACAACCATTATTGCCTCTCTGTTAGTAGTAGTATTAATATGGCAAGATACCCATTTTCCAGATGCACGTGTGTGACAGGGGTAGGAGAAGAGGACTTTTGCCTAAAGAAAGCTGAAGGGAGGGAGCAAGGACTCTTGACACAATATCTGACCATCCCTTGGCGCAGCAATGAGGTCTAAATTTACAATTACCCCTTCGACACAGAGGTGTTGCGGTTAGAGTGCACATGCCAAAAATTAGTAGCTAAGTGCTACCTGCAGTCACAAAATGAAACCAAACATCAGGAAGTACTAGGAAGGAGATAGGGAACAAAGTAACAGCATTATGCTGCTGTGCAAAACCACAGTGTACTCACATCTATGTGCAGATCATCACACATTTCAAAAAGATAGAATAATACTTGAAAAAATGCAAAGAGGAGCAACAAAGATGAAACATGAGCTGCAGGAGGAAGCGCCCGGAAAAGCAACAGAGACCTGCAAGATCTCCATGACCCGCTGAATGGTGCTGAGAAACCAGCCAGGGAATGTCACCTCACCTGTCCCTGCAGTGCAGGAAAGTGGGGTTCACAAAGCCATCCTTGTGCTGCGTGCTGAAAGCAATTAAAAGAAGAGCCCTTCGCTACAGCACAAAGGGAAGTTGACGTTTAAGTGCCGCAGGGAAAAATGGGCTTAAATAGCTGACCCAGGCAAGTATTGAATCCAAACGGTCCCACAGTTTTGAAAGACGAGAAAGAAGGGGCAAACGGGGTTAGCCAAAAGGCATTGTATTTAGATTTTTTCACACTTAAAAACAGACAAATAATTATGCTATTTAATACCACATAATTAGAGTGTAATTAAAACCAGTGCGAAATATGCAAACTATATGCGGGATTCACTTATTTCAATACTGAATTTCAATGATTTCTGCGCTTGAACCAACTCAGACACACCACAAAACTGCAGCACAACATAGGCAACACATGTATTTGATCAGGAACTGCGCCAGGCCAAAGTTCCCATTGCCTTTCATTCCATTCCCCAAAATCATGTGCACATTTCTATTGGCCTACATTCAATCCTCCTTAGGGACTCTTTGCTGACCTCTCCGATCCACTCACACAACTCAGAGCTTCTGTGGACATCACCCAGGTAAGAGCTGCTCTTCCATGACAGCATCTTAAAGGGGAAGATCCAGGAAATAGGAAGATCCAGGAAATAATTTCATAATAAAAGGGATCTCTTCTCTATGCTCAATATACCCATACACTGCCCAGGAATAAGCCCCTCGGCTCCTAACACAGGCTTTTTTTCTCCCCAGTCTGTCAAACCAAACACGCAAACAAAGTCACTCACCTAGAGATAACGGAAAAAACGCAAGAGGTCTTCCCCTGCCGGCCTCGCAACGGTAAGTGAACTCAGGAAAACTCAGAGGCCAAGGATGCGTAGTGGGGCTCAGCACTGCCTCCAGGTGAACATGAAACAGTCCCTCTCAGCTACAGGGGTGGGAACAGCTCTAGAGACCGGCATCACAAAACCAGGTACTCCCAATAGTCACTGCAAAGGAGCATTAAGCCCCAGCTACGCGCCCGGCCTCGCAGCCACTCCTTGCAGCACAGGAATAGGGAGAGCTGGCAAAACGTTAGTATTTTTACCGAATTTTGTTCTGATGCCAACATTGTTCTTAAACTTGAGCGCCTATTTTCCTCATTTTTTCTTTTACTCAGAGTAAAAGAGATGACAATTACACTGTCTCCCAGGCTTTGCTTTGTTAAACTAAGGGAAGTTGAGCTGTGAGAGGACCTGGAAAGGGCAGAAATCTTTGGATACCAGCCTCTACAGCCGCCTTCCACCGGCATTCAGGTGAGGAAATGGAAAACAACTTTGCTCAGGTTCGTCTTTCAGCCTTCTCCAACCCAGACTGCCTGGGACAGATCTGAGCAGCCTGGTGGCACGGCAGGTTCAGCTGCTCCCACTCCTGCAGCCAGGATCCTGCGCGCGCGCCGGCCTCGGCATGGCACTCGGATCAATCTGGCTCACAGTCTGCTGTTTCTCAAGGGGGTTACATGTAAGTACGGTTCTCTGCATGCCTATCTTGTGCCACTCGGTCGCGAGACTCTTGTTTCCACAGTCCTGCTGGCGTCACTTCCCCAAGCACGACACAGGCGCCGGCAGCTTCAGCGTGCTGCAGGAGCAGCCAGGTCTAGGCCTGCCACAGATCTGACGTTTTCAGGGCACGAGCGAGAACGAGGGGCTGCAGGGCCTGGTTACTGAAACATTTACACAGCATTGTGAAGTTTTTATGATGAATTTCTATCTTTGTAGGCTTAGGAAAGAAATACTGCCACCACCACCACCAACAACAATCAAGAGATGATCACGTAATGCGTTCTCTCCCCCGCTAGAAGAAGTTGACTGAGCTGTGGCTCTGGCAGTGAGACTGAAATCCAACAGTAAAGCAACCAGTCGCAATCGAGAAGCACCCACTCTCAGCTGAGAAAGAGCCGATGGAAAGCTCTGGAGAGCAGACTACCAAGTGACTTTGTACTTTGTCTGGCCTCATGTCACAGAAAAGACGATACAAAAACCTCAGTACAAGCACTACTTGTTCTTTCAGTTTATTCTAAAATAATAAAAGCAGAGAGAAAAATAAACATTTTGACATGGTCAAACAGCAAGAAATCAAATATTTTTGACGTAACAAAGTCTCCAAAAATACATAGGAGAATCTAGGTCACACAACTGCCTTTATTCTGTCATTTTAGAGAGTTGCGCTTGGCTTTTATGAAAAATCAGGAACTATGTATTCGCTCAGGAATTAAGAGCTTATCGTTTGCTGTAGGAATGAGAGGAGGAAACTACAGATGCAGGTTGGTTAGAGGAGCCGAGGTGCCGAAGCTGGGCAGGAAAACTCCACATCTGCCGCAGGAGAGGTGGGCCAGACACAGCCGGAGCCAGATTTTGCAGGCAGGAAAGCAAAGGGAGCCCCTGCCCTGCACAGCCTCCCTGCAATTCCCACCTTTCGTGGCCTTGGCGCTTCCTCCCACCAGGCAGAAGTGGCAGCGGGAGAGGTTCGATCTCTCTCAGCGGTTTCCCAAAGTTCAAGCCCATCATTAAGGAGAGGAATCAAGGGAAGAGCTTTGTTGCGTAAAACAATGTGCTTTCAGCCGGGACAGCTGGGCGAGAGACCCCAAGACCACGTGCTGCTAAGAGCAGAGGCAAGTTTCAGATTTGTCCCATCAAAAGTTGGGATATCTCCCTTCCTGCAACTCCGTTTTCAGCTGTTTCAATCAGCTCCCTGAACCCCTATTTCCTTGCTCTGTCGCTCCAGGGGGATGATGGCTCCTTGGGCAGCTGTAAGCTTTACTTCCAAGTTGAGTCCAATATGATCTAAAATTACCCATCCCACTGTGGAAAAGTTACATCTCTCAATATTTTGTTTCAAGGAAGGAGGAGGAAAGAGATAGCTTTTTCTTTAAGAGAAGGGCTCATTAACAGCCCCAATAGCATCTGCACCAGAACCTTTTAATTCTGATGCGCTCTTCTAAAAGCGATACCCAGGATGGGAGCCAGGTCTCCTCCCCAAAACTGACATATCCCAGGGCCCGAGAAATGCAGAGCCAGGTGCCATTTCTGGACATTGCTGAACCATGGCGCAGAAGAAAACCACTAAAGAGGGCCCATGTGCCCAGGCAGCATCCACAGCAAGGCTGGAAAACATCAGGAGCTCAACTCTGAAAACAAACCATACAAACAACAAAAGTGAAGGCCCTCCCAAAGCTCTTTCAGGGATATCAAAGCCGTACCCTTTCACTTTTGCAGAGTAGCTATTTCCTGTAATAATATTCTAATCCGCTAGAGCAACAGTGATTCTTATTAGTGTTTTATCCTCCTAAATTCTTGGCAAAGTTGAGTCTAACACAAAGGAACTCATGACAGAGGTCAGAGTCACAACTGCCAATGCTGTCAGATACTTAAAGTAACACGATTCCAGCTCTGTATTTCCCGTAATAAGGGCTTTTTCAAGTAAATTGCATGTTCCTAGAGTACAGCAGCACCCACAGTCTCAAGCTCTGAATGACTGCCGCGTTATGCATATAACAAAAAACCCTGATATCAAAGAGGTGATAACTGGGTTAACCATTAACTGGCCCAGCAGTGTGGTCCAGCCAGAGGCAGAAGGGGAGCAGGAGGTAGCCCTACAAGCCTCGTTTAGTATGAGCACAACAGTTAGGTGACTAATGGGACGCTGAACTCCAGGGGGAGACAAAAGCAGCTCAGCAGATAGGCAGGAGGGAAATGGGGGCTGGAACAATCATTTCTGGATCTACTTACCTGGTTGTTTGCTCAAGAAGGGCCCCATGTTTGTGCTTGCAGTGTCCTTCTGGTGTTGTTCACTAGTCACTGTTCTGTTTGCCTGGAGAGCAAACCAATCAGACTCTGTCAATTTTTAAGATTAAAATCAATCACTGACAGAAGTCAAGGTTGTTAACGCTAATCCTTCCTCTCACTGCAGTGATTTCAATAGAGCAAACCTGGCACACGGATCTTTGCAGGCTGTCGCCTGCCACATCTCGACCGGCGAGGAGCGGCAACTGGGGCATGGGAGGGCTGGCAGCCCCTGAGTGTTCCTGTGCCCCCACAAATGCAAGCCTGCATGCTCTGCCTTATGCACTCATTGCCTCACTCATTCACACAGCACCACTTTGCAGAGGGCCAGGACATGCACTTTACCCCGGGGCTAGCAAGAGAATAAATTTAATGTATTACAAAATTTGTCTGAATTGGAACCAGCTGCAATCTGAATGCATTTGGCACGCCAGCTGGTCTAAATGCCGCGGGCTGCAACGCAATGCGAGGAAGCCACCCTTGTTCTGAGGACTTGTTAGCACCAAGAGAT